ATATATGTATAAGTAGGCTATGAGGACTTCCCCGGGCGATATCATATGGTATCGCGAATTAATCAAACTGGGTCAAAACCCTACAGTCTATGGTCAAAACGTGTTGTGCCCACATGCAAAGGTTGTACGCTCTGGCTTATCCCTGCGTGGTATTATATAGTAATAGCAAACAGCTACGTTCAACTCCTTTAAATGGTATATTGCAAGTGCAATAAGAAGCTACAGGGACGTTAATCTAAGTCGGTAATATTAACTTTATTTAATACAACATTTACGGTACAAGATTGACATCATACAGCCCATGTAGTATAATATTTTACAAATGATGAATTACAGCAAACATGTGCAATGTATCCATTATTACAGCTCCATGGGTAAAGGAAAAACGCATGTAGTACTGAACACGTAACATGAACGTGCCGGGCAGCGCGGTCCCGTGGGTTAGATGCGCGTTCATAATGCAGAGGGAAATAACTCTCAGAATAACATTATTAGCACATTTTTACAACATGTGGAACGAATGTTTTTAATAAGGGCTATACAAACGTTCATACTGGGCAGTTTATTTAGTTTAAAAAAACTATTCAACGATTTATAGACGTCTCTTTCCCAATCTAAGTCAATGGGAAAAAGTGTTTCCGGGACCAGCAACCTAACGGAAGTGTAGTACCGCCGTTTGGCCACAACGAATATTTTAATCAGAGTCCGGCGCACTTCCTGGGGGATTGGTGCCAGCGGAGAAAGCACGTCAGCGGAACCCAAAGAGCAAGAGGGAGCAAGAGCGACACTTACCCCTCTTTATAAAGGTTGCCCCGTGTGGTGATAGGACTGAACAGTTTATCCTGCTACACTAGCTACAAAGAATGCAAGTGTAGCGAGTAGCAACCTTTTGCCCAGCCAGCTGTCTTGCTAGCAGCCAGTTACTAACATCAGAAGTAGGATTGCTACATTTCCACAGTTTATTCAACAGTTGTTTGTATGATTGACTTTAGTCAAACAACTGACAGCTACTATGCAATTTGTGTGGAGCACATGTTACTACCAAGCCCCTAGGATCAACGCTGGGCTTTGAAACCAATAGCAAATATTAGTTTTAAGCTAAATCAATTTCCGAGTATGGACACTTGAATGGCCCGTAATTCCATAAGTGATTAAATCCACTACTAGCCCATTTAAGGGTAATTTCCTGTTTTACGTTCCTTTAAATGAGTGCTGACATATTGAAAAGATGTTGTTGAAGGAAAACATTAGTGGAATAAACAGGGCCCCACCTACAATGCTGTATAAAGTTATTTTCATACATCTAAAGTCACAACATCCAGGCACCCCAAGCAATGGAGAACACTTAAGCTGATTAGCCTTGTGTTCTGGCTGGGGGCCAAACTTGAACACAATGCATTGGCATTGGCTGTTAGACTGTTAGGGTGAGTGAAGCAGGCAGGACCCAAATGCAGATTGAACAGAAAAATACCTTTATTTCAAGGTTTAGGTGACAAAACAGAACACTACCCTGTGAACACAGTCACAGACAAACAACGATCTAACAAAGACAGACAGAAAAACCAGAACTAAAATACACACAGGACTAATCGAGGAAACAAGAGACAGGTGAGGAGGGAGGAGGGAACACACAAGAGGCTTCTCAATACTCAAATTTCCCCTCCTCGACTCCCCTCCTCGGTTCCCCTCCTCGAGACTTAGACCCGCCCACAGGAGATGCGAGCGGAGGACCGAGGAGGGGAACCGAGGAGAGGAGGGAAGCAGCAGACGTTTAAAGAAATGAGAACTCCTCTCCTCTGAGCGGTCATTTTAAAGAGACGTCTGTTCATTATTACGTGGCAACAGCTGCATCAGCTGTCGAGTGTTTTGTCATAGCGCTGTATCTCTGTTAGATCAGCTGAACATTGTTCCCCCACATATTTACTTTGAATTCATTGAGAGTGCGGTATAATGAGACAATAACAGGCTACAGATGCGGACACACACACACAAATATATTTATATAAATATATACAATTTAAAGTATGAGAGCACTCTCATAATAACGTAACACAATCAGAGACTGGATATAGGCCTATCCCCCCCCCCTCTCTGGTCGCTGAAATGGGGAATTGAAATTACGGGCCAAAAGTTGTATTTACAAGTAGGCCTATTAAAAGTAAGCAGAGGACACCAAACCAACTGAGACCCGTCTGTCCGCCGCATTTACGCACACACCTACACACTGTACCACACACACTTACAGCTCCTAAATCATAAGCCGTTGTGTATTTTATTATGTGAAGCAATGGTCTTGTTTGTAGATATCTACTAAACTAAAGCAAATAAAGAGAGTAGGCCTGTTATACTGAGTGATATATATTATACACACTGCTCTGCTTTCTGCATGGACCTTACAGCTGTTCTCTCTGGAAACACCGCGACGCGATGAAAGCAGTTTCTAAAATAATATCCAGGGGATGCATGCATAGCTGTCATTGGCTGAGATAAGTCCAGCCGTGCGTCACGCCTCCACCGTTCCCGGAAATGCATCCGTGGAGGAGCCGTGGAGGAACCATCAGTGTATCCTCGGTTATAGCTCCTCCAGAGAGCCTCCTCGACGCTCGATGCTCGGTCCTCGGTGTGCATTTAGAGAAATGAGACGTCCTTCAAAATGGCGCGCTGAAATTCATTTCCGGGTCACTACCGGAGGACTGAGGAGTCGAGCAGTCGAGGAGGGGACATTTGAGTATTGAGAAGCCTCTACAGGCTGCAGTCGAATAGTCCATTTAGCTTGGGAACCTTCCTAACGGAGTGAAATGACCCGGAAGTCCCTCAGTGGCAGCCATGATAAGTGCCGTTCCAATTCTCTAGATGATAGGAAAGGAGGTTTCAAACCTCCTTTATAACCTCCTTTAGCTTAGGAACCACTGGACCTCCCTTACCGAAAGGAGAGGAGAAAATGCTGCCCCACAATGCATTGCAGCCGCAGCATTTGCCGTCACTCAACAGTCGGCCGTTCACGGAAACAACCGATTATGACCGAGAAATGATGTCATGAAAGTTACGGTGCTTATTAAGCATTTTAAAACGTATGTGGTAAGTTGCCAAAGTGCTTTGTTTTGAACGTTCATCAGTATTATAATCAAAAAGAGAAATATGAACGTTAGTTTTTACTGAAATGATCAAATAAAGTCAACATCTCACAGTCTTTACTGAGCTGTGTGGAGTTTGTTCAACTTTTAAAAGATGTTTGAATGGTGATATACACAGTGATAGATGTTAAGGACTAACGTTTATAATAAATACATTTGTATTGATTTTAAGATATTTTCATAGTTCATACAATCATACGTATTGGGATCATTTGTATTAATGTGGACCGGAGGGAGAGGGTGACGAGCATAAGTTTCACTTTCCTTTTTTATTTCAATTCCAACTTTGGTCATGAAGAATATGTTTCTCTGTTGTCCACGTTCATAAAGCATAAAGCAACAGCATCAGAGCACGGTGCAAAGTCTCTAGATGAGTTTACAGTAGTTCCTCGTTCTTATTAAACATCCATGTTGTAGTCCGCTGTATAGAAAACTGTAGTTTCCATAGTTTCCCCACAGCAGCAGACGCACATTCATGACGTCCGCTGGAGCATCATAAACACGTTGGATAGTGAAAGTGCAGTCGGATTCTCTAAAGTACCGCAGCCTCGTCTCCTAAGTCCTTTTGAATTCTCCTATCCACTAACCCCGTGACGTTTCACTCAGAGGTCAAGGAATAGGAGATAGGGTTAGAACTTAGGAGCTGATTTTTGGACTATTGGACTGCAGCCACAAACAGGAAACCAAAGACAGATCTAGACAAGACAAAACACAACGCAGACAGAAAACCAAAGACAGATCTAGACAAGACAAAACACAACGCAGACAGAAAACCAAAGACAGATCTAGACAAGACAAAACACAACGCAGACAGAAAACCAAAGACAGATCTAGACAAGACAAAACACAACGCAGACAGACAGATCGTGACATGGACCTTACGTGTTATCCAACTCCACATTAACCTGTTTCCTCCTCTTTTCTGCACACTAGATGAGAGCTGATTCATTTTAAGGCACAGAATGTGCATACAGAACTTGCTAAATAAATTTGAAATAATTGGCATAGTTTGGGCAGCTTGTACAGCAGCCTCCTTAATGTGTCAATCACTTTCACCTGTCCCCGCCCCCTTTCTTTCAAGTACAGACAGAATCAACAAGTGAAAGGAACAAGTGAGGTATACTGCATGTATAACTATGGTGTATGCCATTTAATCCATCACGTCACACACACCCTGAAAGGAAGTCTAACGAGCTGAACTAGTGTAAACCTTGGTTGAAGTTCCTGTTAAGCAGAACGCAAAGCTCCAAATGTAAACAGTAATCTACCGTGAGTGGGTGCCATCTTGGTTCAGATACATGTTGAGCATCACAGATTGACGATATACATCAGCATCAGAACATGTCAGGGTGGATTTGTCCTTCCGTTGAAAATCTGCACATATAATCGGACATTTACACACTTTTTAGGATTGTGGCTTCAAACAGACATACAAGTCTCTAAACACACACACACACACACACACACACACACACACACACACACACACACACACACACACACACACACACACACACACACACACACACACACACACACACACACACACACACACACTTTACCTTACTACAACAGTTGTAGTATCCCTGGCAATCTTCCACCAAAGCACTCAGCGCTGATTTCTATGCCTACACACACAAACACACACAAAACAAGGACACAGGGGGTCAAACTCTGAAGCCAACAGTCTGGGTTTGGGGAGCCAATTCGAATTTTCGGGGTTTAACACAATTGTACACTTCCTGTTTTTATCTTCTTATTCCTCCAGACTGTTTTTAATTTGGCTTTTCACCTTCTCTAGCTAACATTTGAGTCAATTGTCTGGTCATGTTAACCGTCTGTCTCTTCCTCCTTCTCTCTCTGCAGCCTGAACTACAGTGGCATGTGTTTGGCGTCGGATGCACAGTTCAGCGACTTCCTGGATGGGATGGGACCGGCTCAGTTTGTTGGTCGACAGACGCTGGCAACAACATCCATGGGTGAGAAAAGACTAGAGGTCTGTACCAGTTCAACAAAACATGTTATCCATATTCGGACAGAAGACCGTAAGTGGCCCTTTACACTGGAAGTCACATTATATCTCGCAAATGTTGTGTTTTCTAGAAAAGGAATATCTTTGTTACAAACATTTTGCAAAGCCTTTTTTGCCTTCGAGCAACAACGCAGTTCATCTCTGATGCTTCCGCAAAAACTTAATCCATCTGTCTTTATTTTATATCTCTAAGTAAGGAAGGAAATTACTCACATTCTGGGGTCACAACGATAACCTCTATTTTGTAAAATCCTCTCAAACTCTACCCATAAAAACACGTTTTTAAATTGAAAAGAAAACCGCTTATTTCCGCATAAAACTGCTGAAATCATTGCACACTGGAAGAAAAAGTGCCTCGTAAATCAGAGCTGTGTTCCACCTCAGGGTGTTTCTCATTGACCCCTGCACTTATTCCAGCGACGTGCAGTCAGTGCAGTCCGGGGAGGCAGAGCCTCACCTGTCATACTCCAATGTAACGGAAAAACAACTAAAGAAAAACTAAATAGTAATAATAATAAAATGTCTCCACTGATCTGTGTTGTAAGTGTGATTTATGTATGATTCCAATCGCTTTTTATAGTCAAAATCAGCAAATTTACCGAGCTCCGCTACAACTACGGGTAGCGATGAGAAGTGAGGCAGGGACGAGCTCTGCCTCACGTAAGCCCACAGTAACTGGCTGGAGCGCGGGCACTAATTCAACGCGGGCACTTATTTTGTGAGCGCGCTCAAGCCAGTTACTCTGGGGTGAGGTGAGGCACAGATGAGCTCTGCCTCACCTCAGAATGCGTCACCCCACAGAAACTGGCTGGAAAGCGGGCCCTAAGCGCATGCCTGCACCATCTCACTGTATGTCACCAATGTAATGTTTGTAGATCCCTTTATTACATTTATCCTCGCCATCCATAGTCTCTAAATAACTTATTTCACGTATATATGATATTTAGGCTCGCTGGTCTCATCATACAACGGCAATGAAAAAAGCACCAGGGGAGGCAGCCATAACCTCTGCCGCACTAAAGGGGGCGCAAGTGAGCCCACAGGTTCTTGTTGCTACTGTTATTCTACGCAGAGAAGGTTCAACAAACTAGACTTTTGAAACTAGAGGAAGATAAGGAGGACTTTTACAAAAAAGTACGAGATTGTTGTCCAGAAGGATAGCATGGACTTCATCTTCAATAATAATAATAAATAATATATAATATTTTTATAGCGCCTTTCAGGAAACCCAAGGTCGCTTTACAAGTCGGGTAGGGGGGGGGAGTAGGGGAAAAAAGGCAGACAGGTTAAGGGGGTGGGGGGGGGGGAAGTAGCGGAAAAATAAACCTATTATACTAACTATATCTTCAAGTCAAGGTAAGACCCCAATTGTAATGAAAATAGGATCTTACTAAGAAAGAACAATCCAATATTTAGATTTTGGGTATCATTTTGTTGAACAGTCTGTTTAAAATGAATCGAAGCATCAGACTAAAAAAGCTTTTGAAAATAACAGAATATTTCGATTAAGGTCAAAATATAATATTTGTAAATCTGACTCTGAAAGAGTCAGTGCCTCACCAGCCATGAACCTCACCGCACGTCACTGACTCATTCATATCCAGGCCGTATAGTGGATTTATTGTATACAGCCCGTCCTCCAAAGCAGTGATCTACTGTAAGTGGGTCAGTTTCCTCGCTGGCAGCCAGAGAGTGTCCTTGGCCTGACAACAGTGGCACTGGCTGGACCCGCTCAGCTCCAAACCTGCTGTCCAGGCCCACTTTATCTGATGTCAGAGGACCAAGAATAACTTGGCTGTCATCTGTCACTTTCAAAGAAATGCAATCGTCATTCTGGAAATGTTTTGCTGAAAACTTTCTAGTGAGTGGAAAATAGCACACTACTCTCTTTACCTGCAACCTTTTAACTTTGTTCTTTAGTACAGTTCATAATAATCGTAATCGTAATGCAGCTGGAAACAAAGGTGGACCGAACAAAAATGAAATGTTGACTTTAATTAAATGTTTTATGTAAACAGATTACACATCATTTTATTAGGTTAGTTGAAAGCAATAATATTAAGTTTAAATACTAAATATTAGGTTCAAATTATTATTATTGCTTACAACTAACATAATAATAAAAACAATTAATCTTGACATAGTACATTTAATAAAAGTCAACCCTTCAATTTCTTAGTGTGTGTTGAGACCACATGAAAATAGAATTGTGTAGAATTCCAATATAATCAAAAGAGGAAGTGGCCGCCATTTTATAAAAATCTGCCATTGGAAGTTTTACAATTGTAGCCGTGCGATAACTTTAACTTTTTTTCACCAAACAATTGTCACTTTCTCTTGAACAAGTTGAATTGAAATGGCAATGTCCATTCTACTTTCTGCAGTTAAGATGAAATGAAAACGATGAGCCAAAAGAGGCTAAAATGCTAATTTTGAATGACAAACTCCTATTTATTTTAAGCAGGCTAAAGTTAATTAAACCAAGACTCACGTGATGTTAATGTATCAATACACGTACCTGAGAGAGACGCGCAACAAAGAAAGGGTTATGTTGTATTATTAATTTCGTCTTGTTAATTCAAAAACTATAGACAGACATTGAAGTGCTTCAAGGTTGCAACAACTAAGTGCCATGTGCTCTCTAGACAGTACTGTGACATCTTTGACTTCTCTAGTTGTCAACATTTGCTCTTTTCCTGTCCATCTCAAAAAGGTCTCTGCAGTCTGCAGAAAACAACTTGAAGGATGTATTCTTAAGTTCAAATACTGTCACTCATTATTAAAATCATTGTTAAGTGTTCAAAAGCCCAGGTGGAGCCACATCTCGTACTTAATGAGTATCACACGAACAGATTTGTCTAGTTCTAAAACCTTTCATAGAAACTCATCCAAACCTTTTTCCTTCAAATCTGAATTATTTCCAGTGATGGAATTTGTTGAAGAAGCGGTTGCATATTTAGTTGCTTGTTCTTTGAATTAACAAGGCTCTGACGCAAAAACGCATGTATGGAAACGGGTTATTGGTTTATAATGCCAGCATACTACTGTTTTTCACACACTTATATGAGGAAAAATGAGGTCATGCATTTTGAATAAAGATAGATAAACACATTCAGCTCCCTAAAACATCATTTTTAAAGTGCAACTTTGTTTTAATCCATCCAGGTGACATAGAGATCGGTCTGCTGGAGAGGAACGGAGGTCTGGAGGTGGAGGTCATCCAGGCCAGAGGACTCACCATGAAACCAGGTTCAAAGGGACCTCCAGGTAACACACCACCATCAGAATCACAATCAGAAACCCTTTATCCGTCCCGAAGCTGGGACATGTACATTGTTACGGCGAAGGCACAGTGCAGATATAATGCAATACATTATACATGGATAAACAAAACAAGTAGCAGTATAATTAAGCACACAAAAGTATTTAAGTAGCAGCCAGTAATAACAAAAATACATATAAGTGTTGTAATAAACTGTAATGGTGTTTTCAGAGAAATCAAAAGCATTGTTTTCTACAGGAAGTCACTTTTCTTCCTCAAAACGTCAGATGCTCCAAGCACCAAATTACATTTGGTGTCTTACCCTATTGTTCATCCAGTCTATGTCTTAGGTAATCAAGGTTTCCACAGAACATGAATGCACCACAAGACAGCAAATAGCATCAGCTCCTGACAAACAGACCCGCCTGCAGCTGACATTTAAAACCTATTGGGATATATCCTACAAAAACACAGTTATGATATAAAAGATGCATGAGTGTAAAGGAGTTTCCAGTGTTCAGGGAGTTAACACACCGAGCAGAAGGAGGTGATCTGATGAATAAGTAAGATCTACATTACTGCAGAGAAACAGGCAGCATGTTGCTCTGATTTGTATATGCTGCTCTGTAGTATCTGTATCTTAAAAATGTCCTATCAGCTAGGTTACATAATGGCGGTCAGGAGTGTGTTTTAAAAATTGATCGTACAACAATCAGGAAATAGCTTTTTTTTTGTATGTATGAGTTTGTCACTGCTCTGTCTGACAGCCATATAGTGAGGGAAGGGGACGATAAAAGACACAAACTCACCGGCAGCAACATCCGGTGTCCACCCGTCCGATTTAGTCCAAAAAACCTTTTTGTCTTTGTTATGATTGTTGTTTGTTTTTGTCGGACCGACAAGGCCCAAACAAGCTTTTCATGCAACTTCTATCAGTTTTTTTTGGAAAGTTTAAATATTTCAACATGGAGCGCTCAGACCAGCCGCGCAAAAAAGGTGGCGCGTTTAGAAAAAGGATGGTGGGTGCTGCGAACAAAAGGCGCTACGTGGACACCGGCCCATACGAACTACATCTAACTCTCAGCTTTGTGCATCAGTGCACCTTAAATACATCATAATCACATTGTACTTGAGCTGTTAATATGAGTTGTCCGCCCAGCAATAAATCACCCTGGCACTAAATCGATCAAGCAAGCAATAAGCAAGTTAATTAATTGTTCAGTTAACCTTTATCTCTTTCTACTCTGTGAGTGATGTGCAATGGCCAACAACAATTGAAGCATGAAGGCATGATGTCTTCATGGTTGTTCTTTTTTAAAATCTTTATCATGCTGCAAGTTGTATTGTGTAACAACAAGCTATTAATCTGATTATAGCTCCACTCGCTTGCATAATATTAAACCATTCATTGATCCTAATTACATAAGAACACAAACAATGTCAGCAAATAAGGAACATCAAAAAAACATCTGGGAACAACTATGAGAGAGCGATAAAAGATAAGAGGATGATAAACAGAGCAAAGCACAAACAAAAGTCGGAGGAGAGAGAAACGGACGGCGCAAATAAGTGTGAAACATTGAAGAGAAACAGAGAGATACAAAGAGATTAAATGAAGTTCATATATTCTCTTAAAACAAAGGACAACCTTGCTCCATATTTCTTTGTAATATTGTTATCTGAAAGAAGGGACAAAAAGCTTTGGAGTGTGTGTGTGTGTGTGTGTGTGTGTGTGTGTGTGTGTGTGTGTTTGTGTGTGTGTGTGTGTGTGTGTGTGTGTGTGTGTGTGTGTGTGTGTGTGTGTGTGTGTGTGGGTGTGTGTGTGTGTGTGTGTGTCAGTCAAAGTCAGAAGTCTGGCCTCTAATATAGTTTTGGCTTCTGTTACCTAGCAACAATGTTTCATACTGGGACATTTAATCATAAATGCAGTTTTAAAAAAAAAACTATCTAGGAAAGGCTTTGTATCTGTGGAGGGAGCGAACCCTTTTCGTAGTACAACACCTGATGCTGACAGCCATCGTTTGCATAAAGTCCGTTTTTCATTTTTACTTTCATTTTAGTCTGATGTCTTCTTGGGCATTGAGGGTTTTCTGCACACATAACCAGAGAAACTAATGGTTTCAAATGGACTTTGTTTCATCAAGTGCACCAAAATCCTCTCTGACATAAATTAAATACAAACAAAAAAAACAGACAAACGCATAGAGAGCCAATAACATAATGTCCTTAGCGGAGGTTTTAAAAGGAACTGTGTATATTTAATTTTGTGAAAGTTTGCATAAATACTTGTGGGTCAAATTCGATTTTTGTAGCGGAAGGTTAGCTTAGTCTTCTTTTGTATTTGTCTTATAATCTGTGGCTAACAGTTCCCTTTTGCATTAACAGACATGTTCACCCTTGTTTAAAGGACAGTCTTGTATTGTACCTCTTCACTTAATTCTGGAGTGCAAGCTACAAGGTTTGTACCACAACCATCATAACCCTGCAGAACAGCCAGCCAGGGTACCAGAAAGAAGCCCCCATCCGTCACATGACCCTCACCTTGCAGGTTGAATCACTCCCTCAAGAGTTTCCTCTCTATTCTAGTCTCCTACTGACCTTGTGCATTTTACTCTTTTATACTGAACTAAGCGGGAAAAAGAGAAATAAAAATGAACTGTACCGTGTTCTACTCTACTGCAATCTCAAACAAACCAGCTCTAAACCTGACAGAATAAACCTCTAAAGTTGCTGATGACTCAATGTGTAAGGGCGTCGCAGAAAACTCTGAAGGGGTAAGTTGAGGTTTAACCTTTCGGACTGCTGTCGTTTCAGCGGCCTACATCAAGGTTTACCTCCTGGAGAACGGGAATTGTGTGGCCAAGAAGAAGACCAAGTCAGTGCGGAAGTCTCTGGACCCTCTCTACAACCAGGCCCTGGTCTTCTCCGAGAGCCCACAGGGGAAAGTGGTGCAGGTGAGATAAGGCTCACTGATTCACAACAAAGACTAACCAGAAAGTAGATGGTTATGAAATAAAACATATTTTAAACTTGTTTTCAGGTGTTAGCCCTGTTTGTTTTACATTACATTATTAAGGCAATTGTGTGTACCAAGTTATTTTACAGTGTTGTTAGCATGCTTACATCTGCTACCAAGCAGTAGACACAAATTAGATCTGAGGCTGTAGTGGTAATGTTTGATTGCAAGTATTTACTAATTAGCCACAAATACTACAGTAAATACACTTTTGCCCTCATAGTGGAGCTGGATGGAGTACGGTGAGTGAACACTTCATAATGACTAATCATCTGGGGAACATGGCACTACATCAAAGAGATGTGGAGTCTATCAAATTGGACGGACCGACAGGGTTACATTGTCATCCATAGTTGGACACAAAGGGTTCATAAAAACAATCTCTAACCAATCTCACCAGATCATCGCCATAGATGATCAAAAGGAGGAGTTTCAGCACAATAATGCTGAACAATGAATGTTATAGATTAGTCTCGGCTGTCTTTGTGTGACAGTAGATCAAGTTCAGGAGGTATGGAGCCATCACAGCAGAAGAGGAGTTTGACATTTACACTGAGAATGTGACCTGAGGGACCAGGAGGCGGTTTGAGCTGATTTGATTCTTTCAGCTGTTTGAGCTTCAGCTACTCTCAGGATCACAAAGGTCACAAAAGAGTCACAAAGAGATTGACCATTACAGCGGATTCTGAGCTCTTTAACTTCTTTCCTCTCCTTTTCTACTTTCTCTTATTTCCCTGGCACTCTTTTCTTTAAATACCCTTTTTTCCTTCCTTTACTATGCTTTTCATTGCTTCTTTTGTACTTTCTCCCTTCTACTTTTTGCTCTCTTAAACTCCTTTCCCAAAAGACAAACCCACTAAGTGCTGCTACCATTTGGCTTCTGCAGACACATGTTTATCTTGGTGGATTAACAGTAGGACTATCCATCCCTCTTTCCTTTTGTACCACCTTGCATCCTTTTTGTCTTTCAATTAATTCCTAAGTGCTCAATGTTCTGTCTTCCTCTTCCATTCTTTATCTTTCGAGTCTTTGACATACATTTTGTACTTTCTGACTCTACAAGATTACTAAAAAAGATAACTTAACGCCAACATGTATGAAGGTAGATATGGTGCAAAATGCGAGAGCGTGTAAAACCTGATGTGAGCGCTCAGAAAATTTGAGCTTGTGTGCATACATTTACACTTGGATAAAATATCCACGTAACTGTGAACCAAATTTGAAGTCACAGAAGAAAAAAAAAAGTTTTGTAGCTTGTAGAAAAAAATGAACTTAGTGATGAAATGTTCAATTAAAGAAAAAAATATATTTTTAAAATACATTTTCCATTACAACTGCAACTTGGTTATTACAACCTCTCAAATCAGTCATCACAACTTGACGAATCTGCTCTGTGGCAGTATAAATCGACGAATCTGCGGTCTTGACTTTTGCTACACTTCTTGTGATGAATGTGTCGCTAAAGTAATTTCCACCTGTAGATGTGGGGGGAGGGAGGGGGGTTGGAGCGAAGGGGCGGAGCTATCAGAACGAGGAGGTGCAAGCTCGGGTCAGTCACACAATGGTCACACAGCCATGTCACGTCGAACCGGATGACTGCGGGGCCCTGCATGTTGCCCCTTTCACACCAACGCGGTTACAGGGCCGGTTCGGAGCTTGTGCCTGATAAGCACCGTTTTTTCCTGTTCATGCCGCAGCGGAGCCAGCTCTTTTCCCCGAAAACCGGTTCTTGCCAAGCTCGAAAAAAGTGTCGGTCTAGGCAGTGCTTCTCAAAGTGTGGTCCGCGGACCACTGGTGGTCCGTGAGCGCCCCCTAGTGGTCCGTGAGTATATTGGTAAAATTACACATTTGAAATAAATAAATAAATAAAAGTTGTTCGCACTCTCGCGGGAATATCTCCGCAATGGAGCGAGCTTAAGTTTCACTTTCGATTGCATGATATAGCCCAGATAAACACCTTCATCACACATGTTGCCACTTGTTGGTACCATTGTCAGGCGATTTGTAAAAAACGATGTGTTTTTGGATATTTGTGGAGTTAGGTGGTCCTCGAGTGTTTTTTTATTGGTTAAGTGGTCCTTGGTATGAAAAAGTTTGAGAAACACTGGTCTAGAGGCAAGAACCGCATACGTCATGCTTACGTCGGAGGGGGGCGAGATGAACCTGAACTAACAGTTTATGGCGAGTACGGCAAATACAAGTTGAAACAAGCAGTAGCGCTGAGCAAAGTGACTAGAACGCAACCACACACTTCTAAAAAAACAAACACACTTTATAAAGTCAGGCAACACTAACCAGGCTTCGTGTGATTCTGTTTATTTGTACCTTACTTTGACCATCCGTTTGCTGTTATTGATCATTGTGGAGAGAGGCAGACGTTTTGTTTTGTATTATAGCAGCTATCGGATGGAATCAATACCAAGTAGAATCATAATGAAAAATACGCCGGTAAAATGTAGAAAACGGCTTATGCCACAAGTTATAGCAACAAGCAACAAGTAGCCTAGTCAATAGCCTATAGTCAGTTTAGCTTTGGTTGCTATGCTAACATCACCCATTTTATACCAGAGAAGCTTTAATAACAGCGTTGTGATGCCAAACAGCGTCAATTCAGACTGACACACATTCACTTATGGGGAATTGGGGATATGTATCAGCTGCTTGTGTGACAGCCAGACAGTGAATACTTTACAGCAGCCACTGCTGTGACTCCGGTGGACGAGCAGCACTGCAGCGGTCGGTACATGCCGCTGTAACACATTAATAAACAATGAACCACGGCACTCTGGAGAAAAGTACAAGGTTGGAGAAGTAGTTATTTAATTTAATCTGGCTTCATATGATTAAAAGTAACACGATTATCGACCCGACGACCATTGTTGTTGTTGTTGTTGTGAGCGAAGCACGGACCTAGAACGGGAGCTGCGTTGGTGTGAAAGGGGCAACAGTAGTCACTTGTGTGTGACTGACCCGAGCTTGCGCCTCGTCATTCTGATAGCTCCTCCCCTTCGCTCCAACCCCCCTCCCTCCCCCACATCTACAGGTGAAAATTACTTTAGCGCAGTGGTTCTCAAACTTTTTCTGTCAGGCCCCCCCTTTGGAGAAAAAAAAGTCGGGCCCCCCCAACACAAGTCAGGCTCAGTGGCGGCGCCAGAGATTTATTTTGGGGGTGCTGTGGGGTAGCTTGACGTTTCATAGAGGGTGCTCAAACATTTAGGGTTTCCCATTAATGTACCGGGCGCTACAGTGGAATGTTCTACTGCAACACTCCCCACGCATATACACAGTGTACCCGCGACCGTTACAATGAAGGCTCGATAATCAGCTCACAGCATATAGGTGTAAGCAGGGATCAAGTGCTATTTTTATGTGTGGACCTCACATAGGGGGGTCCGGGGGCAAGCTCCCCCGGGAAGATTTTTTTTTAAATATTGAAGTTAAAAGCATCAATCTGGTGCACTTTGAGAGCAACATGAAGAGATCTATGGATACATCTCTCAACACCCATTTGAAACAGAACTGTAAACAGATTTACTATTTCTTTATGGATATTTTACACAAATCACCCTTTTAAACTTTATTCTTGTTTTACTATCATATAGTATTTCATATCTGTTTTTCATTTATTCTCTTATTTTTTTATAACTATAATGATCATATAAACGTGTGCCTCGGAAATAATTGTTTACATTAATGGTGACCAAAACGTTTGAGACCCACTGAGATAACACTAAGAGAGTCCTTTAGTTCACTGAGCCTCTCAGTCTGACAGGAGAGGACTCTCCTCCACTTTGTTGTTGAAAAAACTCCTTATATCCATTAGCGTAGCTCGCTAGCACCAGAAACTAACAACAACGATCTCCGGTACCGGTGCGCTCTCTCTCTCGCGCACACAAAATGGCTCGTTCCACACACACACACACACACACACACACACACACACACACACACACACACACACACACACACACACACACACACACACACACACACACACACACACACACCACACACACACACACACACACACACACACACACACACACACACACACACACACACACACACACACACACACACAGAGCCGAGCTTTAATGAAACACAGAGACCCAGACGTAATAGTACTGCATCATATTATTTTCTAATCAATAATTTTTCATATTATGATTTTTTTTTCTTTTTTTTATAACCATTTTTCCTCCTGGTCTCTCACCCCCCCCTGGCATGCCTCTGCGCCCCCCAGGGAACCACTGCTTTAGCGACACATTTATCGCAAGAAGTGTAGCAAAAGTCAAGACCGCATATTTGTGGATTTATATCCACAGAGCAGATTCGTGAAGTTGTGATGACTGATTTGAGAGGTTGGAATAACCAAGTTGCAGTTGTAATGGAAAATATATTAAAAAATTTATATTTTTCTACAATTGAACATTTCATCACTAAGTTCATTTTTTTCTACAAGCTACAAAACATTTTTTTTTCTTCTCTGACTTCAAATTTGGTTCACAGTTACGTGGATATTTTATCCAAGTGTAAATGTATGCACACAAGCTCAGATTTTTTTTCTGAAAGTGCTCACATCACATTTTACAAGCTCTCGCATTGTGCACCATATCTACCTTCATAACATGGACATATGTTAGAACTTGTATAGTATTTCAAGTTCCTCAGGGCTCTGCAGGTGCACAGTGGTGTCCTGTTTTCAGTGGAGGCCTGCAGCTCTGCTCCTGTGTAATTAGCCTCTAAACGCCTCCCTCGTAATTATTTGCTGTCTGCGTTGCTGTCCTCCGAGTTCCATCAAACTCATTCACAATAATGAAAACCGCTGAAATCAGCAGCGCCTTTCAATCTGTCACGTCCTGGTTTAGCACAGCAGAGTGCTCCCTAAGTACACACAGAACATTCATTCAGAATCCTTCATCAACTGAGTCTCAAGCTTTCATGTGAGAAAACCGACGTGCTCATCCAAATAGACAGTGTATCCTCAGACATCTTACAAAGGTTATTAGTCATTTTAATACAATCAGTATCCAGAATCATGTGTCAAGATACACTTCACATACAAACAGTATTTCAATAAACCTCTGTTTTTACAAAAACTTGTTTAGGTTTTGGTTAGGTTTTGAAATTGTTTTTGATTTTGAATACATATGTAAATTACCTGACAAATAAGTCACTGTTTGGGGTAAAAATAAAGCGTTTTTAATAAGGTACAGAAGTGATATGACAAAAAAATGGTTTCACTGGACAGAGACATGGTCTCCTAAGTGATGGTCTGTTGTTTTTTGACCAACTTGTCTAACCAAACCTCCTCCTTCAGTTGACTTCTTCACTCTTTATACTTCCTGGTTTTGCTTTTAAAGAGGCCCTTTTATGCTCTTTGGGGTTTTCCCTTTCCCATAGTGTGTTACATAGGTTTTTGTGCATGTAAATGGTGTGCAAAGGCCAATATCCCTGTTTTCCATCCAGAGGGAGTTTCTCTCCCACACCCTGGCTGAAACTCCTTAATTGGACTCCTTTGTTAACTTCCATAACATAGTGACATCAATATGAAACACGTGTGCATGTATTGGCTAGCGCTCCAACACATTGTACGTGATAGGCTAAGGGGTGGGACATCAACAGAGCCGGCCAGCTAACTGGGCTCTGGTTTCAGAGGGAGGGTGAAAAGAGGTGAAATGGATATATCACAAGGTGAAACTACCAACAAACGGCTTATAGAAAAACTGGGTTGCTGGCGGGAACAGTCATTTGCATTCAGGTCAGTGTGACTTTGTGTCATTGAGTGGACTTGGGGTTTTTAAAGATCAAAGTTAAAGTCCTATTTCCAGGAAATGTTGTCTATCATGAGCAACTAACACATACAATTGCCGTGCCTGCGTGTGTGTGGTAAACAGAGGTCATGTCAGTGGGTTCTGAAGGTTGCAGGTTTTCACTGTCAGCCTGAAGCTGCTGTCACTGCGTAATTAGTCACTGAACGCCTCCTTTCTAATTGTCGGCTGTCCGTCTTGATCCTCCGCTCTACACTTTCTGCCACCTTCCCCTCATCATATCATTTTCTCTTGTATCTCATCCTCTCTGACAACAGGCAGGCATATCCTTTTTGTTTTAAAAAATATATATTTTAAGTGTTTGGTTTGTGTTTTCTGAGCTTTGTGTGAGTTCAATGTTTGCTTATCCTGATATCTGAGGTAATCAGATTTAAGTATTCCACTAAGCATTAGTAACCATGTCATTATGGACCATGTTTTCCCTCAATGTGGGACAGCCGTTGAAATTCTTCGTCCACATAAGTATATTTTCAGTGCTGGGAAAAGCTGCAAATCCAGGGTTTATTGCATTCCTTTTTTTCAAAATGTGTCACTATTACATCTCTTTCTCATCATTCTATATTATTCGGTCTCTTCTAACCAGAGGCAGTTTCTGGTTTCAAAAGTGAGTGGCTCAGATAGAGACATGCAGAGAATATGAAGTAGTCTCTATCGATTCTATAGTCTACTCTAGGCTCAGCCACACCAGCCTTTACGGTTTAACAGCAACAATTATTTCTGAATTTAAACCATTTAAATAAAATCTAAATATTTGCTCCCACTGGCAAGGGTAATCTGTGCAGTAGTTTAGCTTTTGTGATCAAAACAGAGACAGCCAGCTAACCAATCAGAGCAGACTGGGCTCTGGTTTCAGACAGAGGGTGAAAAGAGGTGCTGCAGCACAGGCAGTGTGAGGAAAATAAAGAGCTTTTTGAACCTTAAAGCATGGAGGCATGTCCCAGTAGAGACACAACATGCATGAACCTGAAAATGAGCAGAATATGTGCTCTTTAATGAATTTACAGTAGAGTAACCGAACATTTTTGCAAAGTTAGGTTAGGAAACTTGGGGCGAATTGTCTTGCCCAAGGATCGACATCGACATGTTGACGGCGGGGGCTGGGAATGAAACCAAACGTTCTTGTTTTTAGACGACTACACCACCTCACAGCCACAGTCGAGCCAAGTAAAATGACTAGATAAAAACAGGATTAGGGTGACTAAATATAAAAAACATTTGAAGAAAGACTTATAACTGCTTAGAATATGAACACTAGCACAATTGAAGTTTGCTGTCTAACTGTTTGGTGTTGCTCTTACAGCACCCTTTCTTCCAATTCCAGTTTATCCCAAACTGCAACATGCTGGGTTTATTTCGTCCCTTTTGTCTTTTTGCTCCACTTTCTAGAAAGTGGACCAGAAACAAATGTAGGACACTGTATTTCTCATTGCCTGTACAAAACACTCAGCCAGTCTTTCATGTTCTACTATAAATGTATCATTTATAAGATGTCTCTGTTGTAATGGTTGAAGCCAGGTTTCCTGTTTGGAGAACTGATGGCAGGCAGACACAACATGAGGTAAAGTTTCTCCTTTTTTAAAGATTCAGGGAAAATATTGAGGCAGACTCTGGCGCTCAGTCTCTGTGGAAATCACATGCAGACACACTTATACCAAACAAATTGGTATGCAGGCATGCTCAGACACACAAGAGGACACACAAACGGATATTGATTTGTTTTGTCTGCTGCTTGACCAGATGTGGCTGTCTGAGATGAGCCCTGATGTTATCGGGGTGTCAGAGACCATTCGTACACAACACACAGGTCCCTAAGCACATACCACCATCATGTTCTACTCTCCCTGCCTCAAACACAATCCCTCTTCTTTACGCCAATAGAAACCACAGCCAGATCTTTGCTTCTGTAACAGAGAGGACAACTGTCAGGATACAGTACTTAAAAACTGATATCCAAACAATATTTATTCATGCTAATTAATTCCACTGTATTAACCTTATCATATGTATCATAACATCAAGTCCTCATAACCTTCAGGATGTGCATGATTCAACATTATCTTAAACCATGTTAAAGAACTAGATACATTTAAATGATTAAATGATTTGTTGTGTGTGGGAGAGAAACTTTTGGATTTTAACCGTTGCAGACCATTTACATGCAAAATAACCTTTTTAACACACTACAGGAAAGGGGGAGCTCCAAATAGCACAATAGTGCCTCTTTCAGTACATTTAACAATTGGACAATACTTTGATGATCGATACCTTTTATTCAAGGATGTTGTCATATCTTTGTCAATAAAACATAATATTAAATTAACATTGGTCAAATGTTTAACTCAAAAGTAAAGTCCCACAACTTTGGTTTAAGACTCATGACATTCCCATTAGCCTCAGCTGTATATTGCATTTACAGCTAACTAGCAAATGTTTGCATAGTAAACAGAGAGGGTACAAATTACTTTATACCTGCTAAACTTCAACACTATCATTAATAGCATGAGCATTTAGTTTATGAGCTAAAAGAAAGTGTACTAAAAAAGCATTTATTCTTACATATTATAATTCTACTATGACAACCGCAAATTGGTAATGCAAAAATGTAATATTTTGGTTATATTCTCTAAACACATCACTAATTGATATCTTGCCACCCTCTTCTGTAGGTGATCGTTTGGGGCAACTATGGACGTATGGACCGCAAATGCTTCATGGGCGTTGCTCGAATCCTATTGGAGGAGCTGGACCTCAGCACGATGGTGATTGGCTGGTACAAGCTCTTCCCTACGTCCTCCATGGTGGACCCAACGATGGCGCCCCTCATTCGCCACTCCTCCCAGATGTCCCTAGAGAGCACCATTGGGCCCTGCTGTGAGCGATCCTAAGACTAAAGGAAATGATCAAGCTTTGTTGTTGCGGCTCTGTTGCGACCGAATCCTAAGACACTTTTTCAAATAGCATGTAGCCCTGCACCTGGGTCAGCCAGGTGGTACTGCCGCTGGAGCTGATAGGTGTAAAGTATCTTATTAAGAGCACTTTCACAGGTCCAACCACACATGGGATGGACCCATCCCCTGATATGGAACTGACTACTAACTAACACTCATTGGTAGTGTAATTCTCTTGATATGGTATCAGGGTTTCCTGGGACTCACAGGAAGCACATCTCTCTGTGGTTGCAACCGACAGCCTCTCAGACTCACAGGAAAATGTCTATGACGAGAAAACAAAACCCTTCTTAATGAGGATACTTCAAAGGAGGGCTCGGTATGCCGACATCGATCACATCCTATTGGGACCACAATGCACTGCAGGCTCAGCTTTGCTTCAGCTACGCGCCTTCACAGCCTACAATGGGTTCTTAATCCCAGGACTGCTTGTTGTCTTTCTGCTTCTCTGCTAAGGAGCTGGCTATATGTCCATCCACGAGTCTGAGAGGAAGTGAGACGGCCCTCAGACTGATGGAGACACCAGCCGCTCATTTTGCTCGAGAATCGAGGGGAATGGATCAGGACTACAAAGAACTTTAAAAAAGTATAATATATATAGCTTTATAGCTATAGATAACTTATTTGTTGTAACCAACCAAGATGTCTTGGTTTCAAACACTCAAGTTGAGCTGTTTTTTGTTTATTGTGTCACACATCTGGCCCTTCAATGTTCACTTCATTCAGTATATGTGTTTGTGAATGGTGGAATCTTCTGGAAGGATCTTGGGGATCCAGAGTACTGCTGAGTTTCTTTCTTTACCAGTTAGTAAGGACTTCAGATAAATACATTGACCTTTAGTGCCAGGTCTAAATTGGTCCCTGAGTGGATATACATGTTTTTAAACAACATTAGCACGTTCTAAGTTCTCAAAGATCATGATGCCTGTACATTTTCGTTACAATCAATCGCAACATTTGCTGATTTTACTGATTATTTTGCCATCTCTTGTTGAAGGTGCTTTTTAGATAAATCAGCCAGTGTTGTGTTTGGTAGGAATGAGAACAGCAGCTTTGTAGGTTTTGAGAAATATTGATTGACAAACCCATTTTACTTGGTTATTTCTTGAATCTGAATGATTGCTTGCTTCTACAAATGTCCAGCTTATCACAAACAGTTTGATATCCGAACTCACAGAGGATATCGTAAAATAATTGGTTTCTTGTCACCAGAAGCCTTCTTAGTGCATTGCCATTCCTCAAAGCAGATACAATGGCAGATACATATGCATGCAACACATTGTATTTGAAGATGCAAGTGACTTTTACGTCCAAATGCAATGTGGTTGATCCTTATCTGGAAACAACTGGCATGAAACAGTCAAATGGGTCTGACATGTTGAGGGTGCTTTGTCCTCATTATGTTCTAATATGTTCTTTGTTGTTCTTAATGTTCACATCCACCTGGTAGTGCAGGACACATCAGAGCAGGGGGAGGTATTGTCCCTCTGTGGCTGAAAAGGTGTTGTATATCGCAGTTTAAATGTAGTTTGGAATACTCTTAAGATAAAGTCTACAAGTAGATTTGAAGATTCCTCCTCTCTTTTTTTAATTTATTTTTTTAGCTTTGGCTAATAACAGTTTCTACTGTGCCAATTTCCACCAGCAAGTGTCTTCTCCTTCCTCTTCCTCAATTACCTTGCAGCATGTGCTATTGTGAGGGAGGAACAGAAACAAGCCCTCACAAGATCTGACAGCAGTGTTCAGGCTGCACAGAGAAGCATCCCTTCTATTCTAAATTACAGGCCTAATCCACTAGGCAACTGGTGATTAGCCATGCAATGACTCAGTGTGGAGAGAGGAGGAGAGAGGAGGAGAGGGGAGGAAAGGGAAAGAGAGAGGAAGGAAGCATGAAATGTACTTTGCATCATCCAAACAAAAGATCTGCCTGGACTCACGTCAGGTTCTACAGATTTTTTTAAAAGGACACAAACATAGGATGAATTTAAAGGGAACACAATGTGCACACTGTAGAGAAAAATAACAAAAGTATATGTATTTCTTTTGGGCACTTTATGATTCCTAATGTCTTTTTTATGTGTAAATATTATGGTTGTTAGTGTCTTTTGGAGTGAGCCAAAGTGTATCTATAATAACTTAGTTAATAATGTTAAATCTTTGAGGGAGTGAAGGGACATCTTGCTAGTTACCGTAAGATTGTAGCATTAGCTGGTAGCATCCGCATGACTGATTAAAACTAATAAATAATTAGCAGACTACTTGATAAGATTAAGCATGAGCTACACGCCACACAGAAAGAGGTGAAACGAAATACAGCATAGGTTGAGAACCAACATGAATTGAGGAATACATTTATATGTAGCAATTTATTTCAGATTAAAAGTTTACTACATTTCCTTTTGGGCTTTTTACTGATGCTGTATAATTACTAAAAGAAAAAAGGTTTGTTTTCTTTTTACTTGGAAGCAAACATTCTGAACAAAATTGAATTAGTCTAATGCTTATCAACACACGTTTGAAATATAACACACCATTTTGAGTAATTCTACGTAAATGTTTGCAAGTCAACAACATTTTAACTAAACAATACAATTTGGAGTAATTTGACTTTTTTTGTGCAAAAGTGGCCTCATGTTGCCAGTAGCAGTGTTGCAGGGATATTAATACTGTATTCATTTTCAAACAAATCAGCTACATTCTGTAAAGCAATAATCAAAAACATCCAGTCATTGCCATGTTCTAGTTGCACAGTGTTCATTGCAGTCAAACGTTTGACAATGTAGGTTATCTTGTTATCTTGTTGCATTCTGTGTGATGTATATATCAGGACTTTTGTGATTCCAAAAACTGTTATCGCTAAAGTCATTTCTTCCTGCTGTTCAAAGCTTTAAGGAGCCAGGATTTTTATGATTTTAAAACCTTGAAAATAGCTTGAAGAATCTGAAGGCAGAAAGAAAAAATCACTTGTGAAGATGTGTCATTTGAACCATTCAAGTGTTCTCACTATTACACCAGGAGTTTCATGTGGTCTCTAAGTAACCTCTTTGAAAATGAGAAATAATTTAATTATAAAATATTTTCTTCATAGATTTCTTTAGATGGAATCCTAATTATTCCAATGAAAGTTGCTGTATCACTAAAATGTCTGTTGAGATGTCTCTGGCTTCCACCAATTGGGTCCCATACTCATTTACAGATAGACTTTGTTAGACCTTCCAAATGTTTCCCAGAGGCTTTTTTTTCTGAATGTTTTTGCATAAAATCAACATGAAAAGCAATCTAAGTAGAAGTCCAAACATTTCTTTAAAAATGTTACCTGAGTTAAATGTCTCTTTATTTGTATCCTTTAAGTACAACAGTTCTACTTACAAGAAAGGAAGAGCACTATTTGTGTCTTTTTCTTTGAGAGTGACATTGTGTACATTCCTAGACATACATATCATAACATGTCCTCTCTTGGGGAAGAGGTGGAGGAAGAGTGGGAGGATGAAAGGGTGGAAGCAGATTCTCTGTTAGGAAATGGTGGCTACTGGATCCCAAAAGCAATCCACCTCCTCCAGTCTGCTCCCGAACGTTCCCGCTCAGAGGCCGTCCCCAACCCAACCCACACGCCATCTGGTACTCTCTCATTCAAAGTGTCCCACATTACCTCCAGTGAATACATTTTCAGGTTGAGCGACACCGGTGTGACTTGAAGTGACATGGGGTTTTGTAACTTCTGTTTCTCAACACCATTCCGGGTTAAATGGCCTCTCACATATGCGTTGCTGGTCATTATAGTGTCAACTCAATTAGTCTTCATCCCCAAATCTTCAAAAACAAATCTTCCTTTTCTGTGTTGATGATCATTTTATCTACAGCATTCACAGCCTTAACTTCTATAAGCCATCCGAAAGGCTCCTAAAATACTAAAAAGGTGATGTTTGGTTCTGGGATACTAGATGAGAAAGTTCCTGACAGGCCTTCTCATGCTGTCAGGAACGTGTGAAATGAGCAACCTTTGGAGGCAATGCTGATGGAAAACCAATGTTACAAGGGAAGCTTTTTCCAACAACATCTTTGTTAATTATGACCATTTCTTTGGTTTAACACATTGATCCATCGTGTAACTTTATCGGAGCAAATTATAACTCATTGACTTATTTACAAAGCCATTTAAGGATTGCAAAATCCCATTTACAAGTATAATGTAATGTTTTTTAATTGTTAAATACCAATCGTCACATCGCTAGATGAACCTCAAAATATGCTAGCATAAGCTAATCTTAGCAAAGCGTTAAGCAGCAAATGCTCATCTGCGTTGCTTTCCATTTGTTGCTCATGTATTACTGCCTTGAGGACCTGAGTGTTATTGAAAGAGACCAAGTGGTGTAACTTTTTTCATTTCACCGCACTGTCATTTAAAACACTCGTAAAAAGTGTATTTGCAGATTCTTTGGCAAACTGTTATAGTGTTGAGTAAATGCACAATTTGTGTATTGTTATTCTATTCCAACTGTCAATAAAATAGTTTAACTCCATCGTGTTTCATCTGTCTTTATTCAAGTATTTGTTTCATTGATGAAACATGTAAGAGAGAACAGAGACTACATCTCCTTTGTTTCAAGTAACACTGTCTTCCCCACAGCCTTCTCTTCTCAATGTAAGATGTTTCCAAACCTCTGGCATTGTTGTTGTTATCATTTGTGTGTAGTTGAAAGCAAGTATCAGCTGTCTGTTTTCACAAATGAAGAGGTAAACTGACCGATGGCTAGATTTCCGAAAAAACGTTCCTGAACCTCAATAACCCAGTGGCGTTTTCTCCCGGAGGCCAAGGGAAGCCAGGCTTCCTCTGTTTTTTCGGATTGTAGTTATAATTTAAATAAATAAATAAAAACACTTTGTTTTGTTTCGATAATTCTCCTTTACTGTGTGTTGCTGCCGGCCCGTCTCTCCCCCATTCTCATTGAGTATTTTACAAAGAGTGAAACAAACAGCGCCCCTCTAGATGTCATGGTGAAACAGTAGATTGCACTCACTGTTGCGAGAGGAGGCCAGCCGAATCTGGCTTCCTTTGGTGAAAAAAAATGGAGGGATTGACCAATCAGATGAGGCCCACGTGATGCCCCTGCCAACCTGTGATTGGTCAGGGCCATGCCAAGGGAAGCCAGCCGCCTCTAGCTTCCCTTCAGGGGCGGCTGGCGGCTGGCGATTTGATTGGACACTGCCATCCAATCAAATCACATCAACATCAGTTTTAATACTGTAACTGTCATCACCGCCGTTAGAAATTATCAAGCAAATGAAGCATTATGGAGGGTGGAGATTTGGCGTACTTAATCAAACATAACTTTACTAAACTTCCGCTACAGCAGCAACTAAAAATTAAATCAGATGACAGGCCAATGCCCGTACTCGAGCTGTGTGTACACAGAGGAAAAAGGGAGATAATCGGACGTTCAATGAGGACAATTATGTCCGCACAGAGTGGCTAACTGGAAGCGCTAAACTTCAGCGTCTATTTGGCTGGCCATGTCTTCTTTTTGACAAGGATTCGTGCTCCCTGAACAATACTTGGGCAACTTCAGGATTCATCGACCTTGCCAACCTGTCACGGGCAATTGAGAGGCACGGTAAATCCAAAAATCACATAGATTGTGTGATTGTTTGCATACATTAATAAGTAAAATGCTTAAATTAATAAGAAGAGAGTTTCAGCTGGAGAGTGCGTGCGGACCTGTCGGTTAGATAACAGGCGTGTGCAAGTCCTGCATCTGTGTGATACAAATGTGTGTAAAATGATACCGGGCGCTGTAATCACTCATCTGGTTACGTTATTGACCGCCCCCCGACCCAAAAAATGGGCTTCCCCTACATTTTCCCCCACGCCACGCTACTGCAATAACCTGCTAACCTCTTGTGCAAACAGATGAGAGGAAACAAGGACACAGGGGAGGAGACAATAATAAGACCGAGAGAGGCAGAGAAGACCAAGGATTCATTCAGTCTGACAGTCAGTGAGGAAGGATAAAGCCTTACCCTTCCTGTGTGGATACGCTCCACTAGCTTTGTACCTCCCTACGCTCCTGTTTCTCTCTTTTAGGATCTCTCGTGCTCCTCTCAACCCTTCTCCCAACATCTCCCTCTCTGTTTCTCCCTCCCTGTCTCCCTCTCAGGCAAACGTCCAGACTCCCTGCCGACAAAACCCATCAGCTCTCTCTCTCTCTCTCTCTCTCTCTCTCTCTCTCTCTCTCTCTCTCTCTCTCGCTCATCCTTCTCTCGTCAATTCTCCTCTCTCCTCTCTCTCTCTCTCTCTCTCTCTCTCTCTCTCTCTCTCTCTCACAAAAAGCAATTGTGTGACAGCAAGGCAGGTCACACTAGGCAGACTAACACACACACACACACACACACACACACACACACACACACACACACACACACACACACACACACACACACACACACAGGGAGGCAAAGGCATGACTTGCATGCACATGCGCAGACTGACAGACAGAGAATACACAGCATCCCACACTCACACCACACACACAAACACACACACAAAAGTGATATAGCGTAACTTGCATGCACAAAGAGAGGAAAGACATTTGCCCACAAAAATTGGATGAACCAGTAGGAATGCCTTAAATGGTGCGAAGGCAAATTGAGACATAAATCATTTTTTGTAGGGAAGAGTTTACTCTGACGCTGTCACTGTAGCGCCCCCTGCTGTGCTACTGTTTTGTAGAGTGATATTGTGAGGTTTTGTTTTTTTATAGAAAGGAAGAATTAAATCAATTTACGAATGGCTGGATTTTTTGTCAAAGGGTTTAATTTCACATCTCCAGATATGTGATTTGCCACCATCCCCCAGTGTATTCATTTCCTCCACTCAATACTCCTTTGGGCAAATAACACTAATTACTCCAATACCTCTTCTTATCTATTTTCTCCTCCTTTTACCATCATTGGTCGTCAAAAAGAAATACAATAACATGTACATATAAATTGATACAGTGTAATAATGCTATGGACCAGAGCGTATTGCGCTGACCTCCACCACTTCTCGATTCCTGCTAACTTTTTCATTAGCAAGAATGATGTCAATCTGCGACCTGCATGTTCGCGTCAGTCAGCACTTCATTTTTGTGAGATATGTTAGCTTATCCCGGAGGCCAGGATTTTCTTTTGTGGCAATAACTGAACATCCAGCATCTCTAGGAATCTTAAGAATAAAAAGCGTTAAGAACTGATTTGCTCTTCTCTGGTAAAAGGTGAATGCAGGTGAAACATGATTCCAACAGGTCTCATTGGACATTTTGTTGGTATCAAGACAGCAATGCACAATGTCCAAGCGTCAGGACGGCCTTGAAGTGAGAGCAAGCTGTCTGGTCTTTCCAAAAGCCTCTCTTTTACTCGACTCCTTTTCTTCCATTGCCTCATTCAAAGGACACCCTGGCAGCAGAAGAGGGAGTGATGGTGGAGGTGAGGAAGATGAATAAACGCCCTGTGACTTCCTAACAGGGCCTGGATCAGTCCACCAGGCTCAGGACTGTCTCACTGCAGTATCAGCAGGGATTAAAGGCTCTGGCATGAACTTCTGGAGACTTCCCCAAGGATTTTTAGCAAGTCTGCAACCCCGTAGACTTTTTAGACTGAATAGCCCATAATTCATAGCAACAGTGTCATCTGTAAATGTGAGCACATCAGGATTACCCTGTATACATATAAAGTGAAAAACACAGCCATAAATAACCTTTTCCTATATCGTAAGGTTCTTTGTGAGGAGGGGATTTCTGGAGGTTGACTGTCTTATTAATCCTCAGAAAGAGTCTTTTTACAACCAAGCTGTGGGACGAAGAGCTGATATTCGATACCCCTTTTTTTTGCTTGGGCCACATCGGAAACGAACTGTGGGGTTAACTCCCTTTGAGTGTCCTCATTTCCTATAGTGTGTCATCTTTAGATTCTAGTGATATACATATATGTTTGACTGTTTTAAACCCATTGATTGAAATGTAATACAATTAATTAAATGTTGTTCATCTCTTGTTTATTTTGGTTCAGGTGTTTATGTATTTTCGTAATTGATAAATTTGTGTTTTGTTTCATTTACCGTAATTGAATTATGTTAGTTGATGATTTCACTTTTGCTGTATTGAGTGCCTGTGCCGGCTGATTCTGTTTTCTTGGACATGGTGGGTTTATTTGAACATGAATCCTTTTGGATTCAACCCGGCTAATGGAATTTCAGTTGCTGAGAGCTGAATATGGTGGGGGTGCTGGTGTCCTGGGGGGTGGTCTCCCCCTTTTAGTGTACTGTGCTCCCCCAGGTCTTGGTTTTCTTCTTAAGTGTGTCTGTGTGCATGTTGCTCAAGTGTGACTGGGTCTTATTTTTGATTTGGAATCCCTCTCTCCATCGACCCATTCCACCGTGCTAAGCCTCAGCTCCTGATTAGGCCCCCCTTTTGTTATCACTGCCCTGTGTGAAAGTGTTGTTGTTGACATTTTGTAATAAAATGTAATACTTGTATGAATTGGACCCACGTCTCCTGCCTCTCAGTATGATCACTGTGTCTGGCTAGTGGATTAATTGATGAGGAAATATTCTCACCTGAAATGTACTTAAAATACATCATCAACCCTTTTATTACGTCCGCTGCCAAATATATCCTTCAACATTTCTGTTATGTTTTAAATCCCTGTGGACTACTTTGTGTAACTGTACTGTAGTTTTGTGATTTTTTTTTACACTTGAAGTAAACAGTCAGCAGCTTGCAGTTTTACCCTCTGTCATTTTGGCTTAATGTTTCTTGTTAAGTTTCCATTTTGGAAAAGTATAGAACCTAATCCTTCAAAAAGAGCTGTTGATGTCCTCACAATACTAATGATGAAATAACAGTAATAACGTTTGTGTCCTGCTGATATTTGCTAAGTAGCTTAGTATTGCACAGTATCCAGATCATTAAAGGAAAACTGGAAATCAGCTTTCCAATTGTGTTATCATCATTGACCTCAATGTGGCCTAAACTAACACTCTGACAACTTCACAGTCTGAATATTTATTGGGTGTCCGAATGTAAGGTATATATGTACATTTACATTCATCTTAATCCGTGCGTGATACACCCAACTGCACAGTCTTTGTACTTCTGTAAGAAGACTCACAGGCTTTCACTTTGAAAGAAGAAAGGTTTAACATTTTAAAACACGTCTGCTTTTCATTTATCTCAATTCAACAGTAAACGTCCTAAATGTTAAAATTAGGTTAAACACACTTCATTGTACAATATGTTTACGTACACTAAACATTCAGTCAAAAGACAAGTCTTTTTCAAACATATAAGTTCAAAGTTAAGATTTCTGAAACGGATCATGAGTTTTCTGTACTCATGTCACTATAATGAGATTGTTTGTTTGTCAGTTTACAGTTCACAGATATTAAGTGTGGTCCAGAAAACTCAAGGTTCCTCCACATTCATTCACCAAATCTTTCAGTGACAGGGGAAATATTTTAGGTAAACGTTGTACATTTAAATAC